CAGGCAAACAGAAGTAGTGTCTGGAAGCAGAGCACAGTAACACCTTCACTGCTAACGCGGCCCCCTTTCAGCTACGCACCCCTCGGCACTGACTGTCACAGTTTCTCATCTCTGGGTTAGATTCAAAAAGAAACCAAGAGGCTTGGCAAGCACCCTGACCAGCTCATTTGCCGTGGTGTCTGTGCACAGCGCCCCTGGGCCTCAGCGTGGGACAGGCCAAATGTAATCCCTGCCTGTGGTCAGGGGCAACCCTAGCATAATCCCGTGCTCAGCCTGAGAGAGCTGAGAAAGTGGTTCCCGTGTGGTGACTTTCTCGTGGCAGTCCCTGACAAACAGCAGGTGTTGACAGGTGCTGTCAAGTCGGTCCTGACTCACTGCGACCTCCCGTGCAGCAGGACGAAACCCTGCCCGGTCCTGCACCAGCCGCACGTACCTTGCTGTGCTTGAGCCCGTCGTTGCAGCCACTCTGTCAGTTCATCCTGTGGAGGGTCTCCTATTTCTCTCTGACCTTCTTTACCAAGCGTCATGTCCTTCTCCTGGGACTGGGCCCTCCTGTGTAAACGTCTGGAGTACGTGAGACGGAGTCTTGCCGTCCTTGCTTCTAAGGAGCATGCTGGCTGCACTTCTTCCAAGAAGATCTTCTCGTTCTTCGGCCAGTCCGTGGTATATGCAGTGTTCTTTGCCAACCCCATAGCTCACAGGCATCAGTTCTTCTTCAGTCTTCCTTATTCATTGTCCAGGTTTTTCACAAGCATGTAAGATGACTGAAAATACCATGGCTTGGTCAGGTGCACCTTAGTCTTCCAAGTGACATCTTTGCTCTTCAACTCTTTGAAAAGGTCTTTTGCAGCAGTTTTGCCTAAAACAATACATTGTTTTATTTCTAGACCGCTGCTTCCATGTTCATCGATCATGGATCCAATCAAAATGAAATCCTTGGCATCTTCAATCTTTTCTCCATTTATCATGATGTTGCTTAGTCCAATTGTGAGGATTTTTGTTTTCTTCATGTTGAGTTGTAATCCATACTGAAAGCTGTAGACTTTGATCTTCATCAGTAAGTGCTTCAAGACTTCACTTTCAGCAAGCAAGAATGTGTCATCTTGCATATTGCAGGTAGTTAACGAGTCTTCCTCCACTCCTGAGGCCGTGTTGTAAAGGTTACAGTCTTGGAAAGCAGTTCTACTCTTAACATGCCAAGAAGTCTGGAGACAGCTGCTTGGCCATATTTGGAAATTTGGAAGAGGTCTATATTTGTGCCCATTCCAAAGAAAAGTGATCCAACAGAATGAGGAAATTATCCAACAATATCGTTAATATCACACACAAGTAAGATTTTGCTGAAGATAATTTTTAAAAAATGATTTCAGCAGTATATTGACAGGGAACATCCAGAAATGCAAGCTAGATTCAGAAGAGGACATGGAATGAGGGATATCATTGCTGATGTCAGATGAATCTTGGCTTAAAGCAAAGAACACCAGAAAGATGTTCACCTGTGTTTTATTGACTATGCAAAAGCATTCGACTGTGGGTCATAATAAATTAGGGATAACACTGCAAAGACTGGGAATTCCAGAACACTTAATTGTGCTCTTGATGAACCTGTACATAGACCAGGAGACTCTTTCGAACAGAACAAGGGATACTTTGTGGTTTAAAATCAGGAAAGGTGTGCGTCAGGATTGTATCCTTTCACTGTACTCCGTCAATCTATATGCTGAGCAAATAATCCAAGAAGCTTGACATTATTAAAAAGAACACAGCATCATTAACCTGTGATATGCAGATGACATGTCCTTGCTTTTTGAAAGAGGGCTTGAAGCACTTACTGATGAAGGTCACTGATGAAGAAGATGAACGGCCATCTCAGGAAGGCCGGCTGCTGCACTGTCTGGTACCGACAACTGATGCAGTCACGATCAGCAGGACTGCCCTCATGTTCGCATCTCTGCCCATGGACCGGGCAGCATGCCGTAACAGTCAGTGCTTTCATGACAGGCTAACTTCTTTCCTAATTGGGAATAACAGCCAAGCTCATATCTGAGTAACCCTAGTCTCATTCCAGAGGCCCAGCCCTGAACAGGAAGAGGTTCTGAATTGGAAAGTGCTGTAGCAGATTGTGGTCATAATTCATAATCATTGTGTTTTGAGTTCTCCTTGGGGTAGAATACTGAATTAAGCCCTACAGTAGCAGTGTAATTTATGATTTCCCCCATAGGAGCGGTTGCTGCGTGTTCCAGAGTGGCCGCGGGCGTGCTGTGATTTGCACAGTAAATTTCCATTTGTAGCTTGCGGTGCAGGTGCATTAATGGCCCTGCATTAGTATTAGCAGATGTTTTGTGGTCAGGCTGAGTGGAACCAAATTGTTTTCTGATGTTATCTTTGAGAAAATACCTCCTGTTCTTGGACCATGTTCAGTTCCTGGCCTCAAGTGAAACCACCTGCATTCATGGATATATCCCATGGGAAATTTTGAAGACATGAAGGTGACTTCCGGTGCCTTAAATCCACATGACACTTGTCCTTTGCCGTCTCCACCTCCAATCCTAGGCGCATGGAAGCACCAGGTGGCTGCACTGGGCACTGCTGCTGTCAGGGCCCTCTTTAAAGTATTAAAAAGCAGCAATATCACTTGTAGGACTGAGGTGCGCCTGACTCAAGCCGTGGCATTCTCAGCCACCTCATATGCCTGTGAGAGCTGCGGGACGCATAAGGGAGACCGAAGGATAATCTATGAGAAGAATTGATGCCGTTGCACAGGGACTGGGATCCGGACCCTGGGGTGAGGAGCAGGTGGGAGGCTCCCGGCCCACAGGACAGGCGTGGAGAGCCAGGTGCAGGTCACAGAGCCAGGAGTGTGGAAGGGCTGGCAGAGAGCGCGCGTGCTGCTGCTCTGGTGGGCTCCGATGTAGGGGGCACTGCTTTCCAGCCAAGCCCAGGCCCCTCGTCCTGTGGCCACAGTCGTTGGTGCAGTTGGCTGGCCGGGGCTCTTTGCTAAGCAAACACTTCTGCGAGCCTCCTGTGAGTCTCAGAGGCCTGTGGGTGAGTGGTTGTCTTTTTAAAATGATACAGGAGCAAAGAAGATTAGGTTAGAACAGGATTTCTGTGACAAGGTATTCCAAACGTGGGTTGTATCCGCTAAGCCAGATTACAGACAATTTAGGGCTCTATCAGAAAGCCTGAAGTGCTCTGGTGGCACGGTGGTTAAGCACTTGGCTGCTAACCAGAAGGTCAGCAGTTCAAACCCACCAGCCATTCCGCAAGAGCAAGAGGTGGCAGTCTGCGTGTATGAAGATTGACAGCCTTGAAAACCCTAGGGGCGGTTTTGCTCCGTCCTACAGGGTCACTATGAGTAGGAATTGACTCGACAGCAGCGAGTTGGGTTTGATTTATTTGATCGTCTGTCTACTAAATGGAACAAATCAGCTGTACAGCAGTTTTGACTAACACAATAACACGTTAACACACGCACTGCGTAACGGATCTGACTGCTTGGGCCCGGACGGATTGGTTGGATTCTCCTGCAGTCCCGTGGGGGAGGGATTGTCACCAGCCCTGTTTTATGGAGGCTGGAGTCACCTGCCAAGGCCATACAGCGAGGTGCTGGGCTCTTAAACACCACGCTCTACCTCTGTGGTTGGAGGTAGGATGCTGGGAGCCTGCAGGAGGAAGCCGCCCTGTACATGGTGAGAAACCCAAACCATCTAGGAGGGAGCCCAGCACTGAGGGCCCTGCCTACCCACCTCCCCCATCACCTAGGCCCTTGCATTTACTGCCTGTGCTCAGAGAGAAGCCGACAGGCCACAGGGAAGGCATCAGCCAGGGAGTCCCCATGAGGCCCTTGGGCTGTCTGCCATCCAGCCTGCCACCTGGCTGTTGGCTGCTTCCTGCCTCGCTCCACAGGCTGAGGTGAGGCGCACAGGTTTGCAGTTTAGCCAGTTTTGGAAATCGTTCTGCAACCTAGCAGAAGGTGGTGACGTCATAGCCTGGCCAGGACCTCAGGAGGTGGTGGCCTCACTTGTCTGTGGGAAATGGGGGTGGCTCTTTATGACGTTGGTTCTTGGAGTCAGACTTCACACTTACCTGTGGGAAACAGGGTTGGTTGGTTATGACATCGGTTCTTTGGGGCCAGGCTTCAGGAGGTGACGGCCTCACACTCATCTGTGGTAAATGAGGTTGGTTGGTCCTGCTGGGGGCTGAGGGGTCCTGCAGGAACTTCCCCAGTGCCTTTACCCTTCCAGAAGCCTCACCAGCCCACCCATTTTCTGCCCAGTAGGTTAGGCTGAGACCCCGAGTCCTCAGCCTGCATGCTAGGCTCGTGGTCCCGAAAAGAACGGCACGCCCCCCCACCCCCCACCCCAGAAGGGAAGACAAGTGTGAGAAATGCAGAGTGAAATTAGGCACAGGGGACTTTGTCCAGAGAGAAGAGGAGTTCCAGAAAGTGGGGTGGGTCTGCCTGCGTGTCCGAGAGGGCATCCCCAGTGGGGATAACTCCAGTGTGTAGAGGGGAGAGAGGGAGGTGGGAACTGGTGGAGTCTGCAAGAGAGGCGGGCAGCGGCCACCGCGCCCAGGGCCCTGTGTCCTGGCCACCCCATGTGTCCTGGCTGACCTGAAGGGCCAGGGCTGCTCCCTGTGGTCTGCTGGGGCATGGTAGAGCCTTTGAGAGACTGGAGGACTCTGGGCGACTCTGGGGCGGGGCGTAGACAGCAGGAAGGAGTGGATGTGAGCAAGCCGGAGGGAAAAGCAGCGGACTTGGGGAGGAGGCCAGTGAGGAGGAACTGGTGAGTGAGGCCTGGGCTGGGGGACAGTGTGGCAGCCGCAGAGGGGAGACGGGCGAGCAGTGGGGGAGAGCACAGAGCAAGGGGACCGCGGGGCATGCACAGAGCAGGCCGGCTCGGACTGGAGGAGGCTCTGCTGTGCGTGCCCCGCACAGCCCTGCGCCGGCACAGTTCCAAAGCCACGGCTTTTCCCTCCATTCGCACTTCACGGCCTTCTCCAGTCAGATTTGCGCCTCCAGGCAGAGCCCCTCAGGAGATACTGGTGGGTGGGCCTGACAGGAGGCCAAGTGTGACCCACTCGATAGTGCCTGCCCTCAGGAAGCACATAGTCGCATGGGCAGTGTGAGGCGTGCGCTGCCCGCCACCGGGCAGAGAGTGACAGTGTTTGCAGGAAACGCTAGGCCAGTTAGAGAAAGGAGGCGCAGACTCCAGCTCGGGGCCTGGAGCAGGTGGCAGGAGGGCCCTGGACAGCAGCTGTTGCTCAGGGGGAGCCAGAGGGCGCAGTGGTGAGGATGAGGGGCCTGCCCTGGCCGTGCCACGGGGACGGAGTCTCGGGGACTTCCTTTGGTTTGGCTCTGCCAGCCCCACGTTGGCCGCACTGCCACCCAGCCTGAGCCTCAGAACTGGCTGCTGCGGATGGGGATGCACCCGGGGCCAGTGGCAGCTCGGCCTCTGCCCTGCTGACAAGCCACCAACCTCAGGTGACATTGCCAGGCAGGCTTCCCTTCCTCTGCAGACCCTCCCCAAGCAGGGGATTTAAAAACAGCAGGCTGAGGCAGGATAGGAGGGGAGGGCGACCCAAGGCCCTCAGAGTCCTTCCAGGACAGCAGACAGAAGGTTCGCGGCAGCCCTGCACCGAGCATGCCTGATAGTGCCATGTCTCCGACAGTGTGGGCTCACTTTGTGTCTGTCACGTATTGGTTGTTCTCACAACACGTCACTTTTTCATCATGCGCACCTACTAGGCTCCGGTGTAGTGTAAGCACGTTTATGTGCACTGGGGAACCAGAAACAGTCGTGTGACCGACTTTATTGCAACACGTGCTCTATTGCGACACTCGCTTTATTGTGGTGTGTGCCGCAAACTTGCAGGGGCCCAAGGCCCGTGCAGTCAGAAACACCGGCTGGCCGGTTTCAGGTTCAAGTATGTGAGAGGTGCACGCAGACAGTTGGGCTGCGGCACCCAGTCGTTCCTTGGGCTTCTGTTTCCTCCTGAAGTAGGGAACGTTCCTGCCGCAGTTCCGTCCACGAGGAGGCCGCTGGGCTGGACCTTCCGTTGTCCTCGTTGCTTTTCAGACAGGGTGATGTCGCCTTAACCTGCTGTATTGTCTCTGAACAGTTTGAACAAGAGAACCAGCGACTCATCGGCGAAATGAGCAGCCTGTTTGAGGAAGTGAGGTACGTGGTTTCCACGCCAGCTGATGTCCTAGTTTCCAGCTTGTCCAGAACACGGGCCACACGCAGCCAGGGTGAGCCTTTGGGGGAGGGGGCGCTGTGGGGTGCCCAGCACCTGCCACTGCTCCCTGACTCACCTGAGGCTCCTGGGTGTTTGCAGAGTAAGCGGAATGTCACTGACAGCCCATCGGGGCTGCTTACATGTAAGTACTCTGAATGGGGCCGCCCAGAGGATGGCTGACGGGGGCACATGGGATGTGGCCTCCTGCAGCTGGCTCAGCGGGGCCTTTCAGAGCCAGGGCAGCCCACTCACACAGGTGCATCAGCACTGGTACCGGAGGCCTCGGTGTGGGTGGGGACGCCTGTCAGGAGTGTCCCTGAAGGTAAGCCTGGGGCCTCCAGAGCGCTGAGACCCTGGCCACACCACAGGCACCTCGCAGAGGAAGGAGAGTGCTGGTGCAGGTCCCTGGCAGGACCCGTGCTTGGCATTTTGCACCCAGAGGTGCTTCCTTCACGGGCTGAGCTCTCCCTCCTGTTCCGGTTCCCTAATGCAGCTCTGACAAGAATATACCACCAGTGGGATGGCTTGAACAAACAGGAGTTCATTCTCTAACAGTTTGGAGGCTTTAAGTCTGAGTTCAAAGTGCCAGGCTCTATGGACTGGATGAAAGCCCCTCAACCTTGGGTTTCATCTCTACCTCCTGCTCCCCGCCCACTGAAGCTCGAGGCTTTTCTTCACTCAAACAGCTCCTGGCTGCTGAGACTGACCAGCCCGAGGTTGACAAGTAAAAAGGCACAGTCCTAATGTTACCAAACCACATGGCAGGCCATTAATTTAAGTCCATTGAAAGGCCCATGTTTGGCAGAGCATGGCAGGCTGTTGACCAATGATGGCTACATGCAGGGTTCAAGCATGCCATAAGCTGGAGACCATTCCCAGAGCTGTTTCTTATGTACTGGAAGCAGACCACATCCCTACAGCCGTTACTCAGCTGCTCCAATAGATTCCACCATGGAGCCGATTAGCAGTCTCACCGTGGGGAATAACTCCATCCAGCTGCCCACTCAGCCAGGCCCAGCCAAGCTGACACACAAACTGAACCACCACACCTCTCCTTCAGCTCCTCCCAGCCATTCCTTCCCCAGCCGGAAGCTCGTCTTCCCACCAGGTCCCCTCTCCTTCCCTCTTCCTGGCGACTCAGTGAGGGCTCCTCATGGTTCTGCTTCCTCCCAGATCTGGGGTCTTGGTCCCCTGCCACCACCTGTGGCCCCACCCCCTGTGGTCTGCAGCTGTCTGGCATCAGCCTCCGATAGCCCTGGCTTCCATTTCTGAACTTATATGCCCCCCACCCCCCACCTGCTACTCCAGACCCTTCCTTTTGGCCCTGAAAGAAGGATGGTGGCTTAGTGCCATGCTTCAGGACACACTGAAGTGGCAGACATGGGACATTTTCACACAGAATCAGCAGGAAGTAGGCCTGACAGTGAGGACCAGCCTTTGTATCACCTGTAACCACGTGGCCCCAGAGCCCTCTGGCATCTCCTGAATCCCCACCATGTGGTCTGTGGGCAACACAGGCCACAGGCAATGGGGTGCCATGTCCCAGGATCCTCAGGGTTCAGAACACAAGGACCACACAGACCACACCTCTAGGTGTCGGGGAGCTGCTTACGTGGTGGGGCGTATTTCTAAAGAGGAACCAGCCCCACGTGGAGCAGTGTGTAGACTTGGCCCTTCTCTTCCCATCTCCTCCCTCCTCCCAGCTGACACTGCGCCACCCTACCCCCAGTGTTTCACAGCAAAGAGAGCGCGTGATGCTCCCATGGAAGTACCGGCACTGACCGCTGACGCTCCATCTGACCACTGACACACCATCTGACTGCTGATGCACCATCTGACCGCTAACTCTGACCACTGACACACCATCTGACCGCTGACACACTGACCACTGACGCACCATCTGACCGCTGACACACTGACCACTGACGCACCATCTGACCGCTGACACACTGACCACTGACGCACCATCTGACCGCTGACACACCGTCTGACTGCTGATGCGCCATCTGACTGCTAACTCTGACCACTGATGCACCATCTGACTGCTGATGCACCATCTGACCACTGACGCACCGTTTGACCGCTGATGCACCATCTGACTGCTAACTCTGACCACTGACGCACCATCTGACTGCTGATGCACTATCTGACCACTGACGCACCATCTGACCGCTGACACTCCATCTGACCGCTGACGCCCGTCTGACCACTGACGCACCATCTGACCGCTGACACACTATCTGACCGCTGACACACTATCTGACCACTGATGCACCACCTGACCGCTAACTGACCGCTGATGCACCATCTGATTGCTGACACTCCGTCTGAGCACTGATGCACCATCTGACCGCTGACGCTCTGTCTGACTACCGACACCCCGTCTGACCACTGATGCATCATCTGACTGCTGACGCTTCGTCTGACCATTGACGTACCCCCTGACCGCTAACTCTGACCACTGACGCACCATCTGACCACTGACACACCATCTGACTGCTGACGCTCTGTCTGACCACTGACGCACTGTCTGACCACTGACGCTCTGACCACTGACACCCCGTCTGACCACTGATGCATCATCTGACCGCTGACGCTCCATCTGACCGTTGACGTACCCCCTGACCGCTAACTCTGACTACTGACGCACCATCTGACTGCTGATGCACCGTCTGACCACTAATGTACCGTCTGTTCATTCTTTCCATGAAGGCAAATTGAAGGAAAAGTGGTTGAAATCTCCAGGCTTCAAGAGATATTCACGGAAAAAGTTTTGCAACAGGTAAAAGAAGAAAAAGTTTTTAAGTTTAGCTTCAAAGATAAATATGCTAAGAATTCAGTACACTTCCGAAGCCGTATGGTTTCCTCACTGTGTAGCCAGGGCCAAGTATGGCAGCTAGTGGGAAGCCCACAACCCTGAAGTAGCCATGCTGTGTGGGAAGGCCAGCTACATGTGCAGCCCACAGGCTGCCAGGCAGGACCAGTGGCCGCCCAGGGCCCTGGAGACGAGGTGGTGCAGGACAGCCCAGTGGGGGAGGGAGCCAGGCCAGTCCTGGTTCTGGTGCCCTGGGTGAGCCACGTCACCTCTCTGAGCCACCCTTCCCATCTCTAAGACAGGGAGGTGACCCTTGTGGGGCTGGTGTGAGGTTCAGAGAGACCACCCAGGAAGTACCTGGGGTAGCCTGTCCATGAGAGGTGTTACAGAGGGCCTTGGAATGGTGCGGGTCCTCCCAGGAAGTCCCCGCTCTCTGTTCAGGGCGTACGTCCCGTGCGGTACTGCATCTGCCCAGCTCTGAACTCCTCGACCAGTAGCTGGCATGGAGTCCAGAGGGCTGATCAGCTGGCCTTTTGTTGTTAGCATCCACAGACGGGCAGGGCTGGGGACACGGTGCTCTTTCTCCCGGGTGTTAAAGTGGACACTTCCCTCACAGAGCCGCTGTTCCTAAGCCACACAGCCAGTGTCAAAGCCGTGTCGAAGTACACACCTTCAGTCTCAGGACACATTAAATAAGCTCTCGGGTCTCGTACAGGAACTGTTTGGGCACCGTCATGTCGACTTTGCAATGTGATGAGCACCTGCACGTCACATAAAAAGTTAAATGGGGTCTCCCTCTCAGAGGTCGTGCAGAGCGGCCTGGGGGGTGGGAACTGGCTGTCCTGGGCCCCGGTCTTCCTGTATAATGGGGCTGAGGCCACCCCCTCAGTCCCCACTCAGAATAGGGAGGGCCGGCACACCCGGGGCCCAGAGCAGGCACTCGGGTGTGGAGTCTATTAACATTAGGTGTGGAATGGCGGGTCTGGGCAGTCCTCTGTGTCGTCAGCACAACCCCTGCCCTCCCTCCTGGCAAGGTGGACCCAAGCACCATGTATCTCGGTGCCAGGGAGGGCTGTGGCCAACACGGGGAACTCAGAGCTGCGTCCCTTCCGACGGTCCTCCCCTGAGCCTGCTGCCGAGGGCCTTTACGTGTCCCTGGGAGGAGCTGCTGCAGAGCTTGGGCAGCATGTGCGGCCCAGGGCTCCCGGCATTCCATGCGGGCTCCCGCTTCCCGCCCCGTGCACCCTCAGGACATTCTAGACCTGAGACCCATCAGGCCTTGCTTTTCATCTGTGGTGGTGGTGGTGGTGGGCGTAGGTGCAGTCAGGATGACTCCGACTCAGAGCAACCTTATGTAACCGAACAACACACTGCCCGGTCCTGTGCCAGCCTCACAATCCTTGCTGTACCTGAGCCCATCACTGAAGCCATTGTGTCAGTTCATCTCGTTGAGGGCCTTCCCTTTTTTGTTGACCCGCCACCTTACCAAGCATGATGTCCTTCTCTAGGGAATGGTTCTTTCAGACATCATGACCAAAGTAGGTCAGACGAAGTCTGGCCATTCTCGCTTCCAACACGTGGGTTAGAAGGTTGTTCATAGTGACTGCTCTCTTAGGAGCGGTGACAATGGTCAGCTTCCACTTCAACATCTTCCAAAGTGTGATTAGAGTCCCACCACCCCCAGTCTGTGTCCGTGTGACAGTCAGACTCCTTAAAAACCGGGCTGGCATGCACCTCCCTCCCCTGCCCCCAGTCCGGGTTACCTGGGGACTGTCCGCAGCACCACTGCCACCTAGAGGAGGCGTGCCTGCAGCACCACCGCTGCCTGAGCGGGAGGATGAGAGACCGCGGCAGCGCGGGGGCTGCTTAGCCCCACAGGAAGCGTCCGCTCGCCCGCTTGGAGTGGACGCTGCAGGCATCCTGTGTCGCACACTGGGTTTTGCCTCGGCTCCTTTTCCCAGACACGCTGGTGAACACGCGAGCGTGTGAGTGGAAAGCCCATACCTGGTGCGTCTCTCTGGACTCTGCAAAGAGTGAATGGGACCGAGGGAGTGCAGCTCGCTGCTCTTGGCTTCCCACCAGCCACTTTTGGGAGAAAGATGGGCCATTCTGTTTCTGTGAAGATTGACAGCCCTGGAGAACCCTGCGGGGCAGTTCTGCTTTGTCTTCCCCTCGGGCAGGAGGAGTGGCTGGGTTTCTGCGCGGTCCTGTGGGGGTGACCTTCCCCTTGGGCAGGAGTGGCTGTGTTTCTGCTCTGCCCTGTGGGGTCCCTGTGGGGTCCTAGTGGGGGTGTGAGCTTCCCCTTGGGCAGGAGGAGTGACTGACTGTCTTCGTCCACAGGAAGCAGAGATTGACAGCATCCACCAGCTGGTTGTGGGGGCGACAGAGAACATAAAGGAGGGCAACGAAGACATAAGAGAGGTGGGTGCCCGGCCGCCCTGAGTCTGGGGAAGGGGGGGTCTCGAGTCTCACTGGCAGGGCTGCCCACACAGCCCATCCCAGCTGCCCCAGGGCCCCGCCCACCTCCCTGTTTGGACCACAAGCCCTTAGCCTCCAGGAAACTCTGGGCCAGTGTGGCGCCCCAGTCCAGGGGTGGCGCCCCCAGGAAGCCTGGACCACCTGAGCCCAGCCCTGGCCACCGTCTGTGGAGAACGTGCTCAGCCGTTTGCCGGGTGGGCTGTTTCCTGGGGTGGCCCTCAGCTTGGGCTGACAGGGACCATCCCAGGAGCACTGCTGATGTTGTGTTCTCGGAACCACAGGCCTAGGTCCATGTGGCCACTCAGACATGAGTGCGTGCTCAGGTGTCGTGTTCCCGAGGGAACGGGCAGGATCACCCACGCGGTATAGTTTGACAGCAAGGGACGCACAGTGAGCCTGTGTCCTGATGGCTCTCTGACCCTCTTTATGCCACCGCAGCCCCCGTCTATCCACGGTGGGCACAGGCAAGTGCTCCACACACAGCCAAGATGGGGTACATGGGCATTCGGGGGCTCTGACCACCAAGTCCCCTCTGATGGCACCCGGGAGTGAGCCCAGGACCACGCGGGCATCGGGGGTGCTGCTGCCACGGTCCCCTCTGATAGCGCCCTGTGTTCCTGTCCCCCAGGCCATCAAGAACAACGCTGGCTTCCGCGTGTGGATCCTCTTTTTCTTGGTCATGTGTTCTTTCTCCCTGCTCTTCCTGGACTGGTACGACAGCTAGGCAGGCCGAGCCTCCAGGCCGTGGGCCGGCCAGCGCCCCTCACAGCTGCTGCTGACGACAGGGTGGAACCAGGCCCAGGATGCACCTGACTGTCCTGTCGTAGAGCGGGTGGGGGATGGGCTGAAGCAGACAGGTGCCCTCACGCACGGGACCCCCGACAGTGCTTGTGAGCCTAGCTGGACCTGACATAAGCATTGATGCCCATCACCAGGAGGCAAGACAGTCCATGGAGGAGAGTACTGCAGCTGCACACCCACAGCAGCCTGCCGCAGGAGGGGGGCCTGCGGAGGGGGCCCGGCAGACCTCAGGCCCCCAGACTGTCTCATAGGAGCTCGCTGGCCTTCCCCGTCCTGGTAATTCAGGGGACACCAGTGAGCACCTGCTCACAATAAAGTGGGATGGTTTCTCTGTTTCCTCGCGGCTTCTCACCTGAGTCAGCTGATGGGGACACCCACCAGACGGTAGATAAACCCACAGTCACCTTGGTGACCTGTGTGAGCAGCACCTTGGTGTTTTGTTAACACGTCCAGCTTTAGAATGTTCACCACCATCTGCCCCATGGGTGGGACGAAGCAGACTCCAAGACACTCAGGGAACGGCTGCCCAGCCCGACTCCCGCCCGAGCTGCAGCCCGCACGTTACGACGGGGGTGGGGGTGGGGGACAAGGCCTCTTCCTGCTGCTGGGGCCCGGGAGCGTGAGTTTAGAGAAGGACGGGGGCCTTGGAGGCCTAGTCTGCTCCGTGCTCTGCACCAGCCCTCCAGGAAGCTGGGGACATCAAGAGCCACATGCGTGCAGAGGGCAGCCTGGTGTTGGCGGGCTCTGCTCAGCTATGCATGACCTGGCTCTTGCTGTTCCTTGCAAAGGGCATGAGATGGACAGACATGTCCATTGGGCAGCTGCACATACCCCAGTGGGTATGATCACATCCAGAGTTATG